AATAGCTAAAAGATTGAAACAAACCAAGTGTCCATCAACAGATAAGTGGATAAACAAAATGTGGTATATTCATACAAAGAAATAGTTTTCATCCCTAAAAACTAATGAAGTTCTTATATGTGCTACAACATGAATAAACCTTGAAAACATTATGCTAAATAAAGGAAGCCAGACACAAAAGGACAAATACAGGATTATTCCACTTACATGAACTATCTAGAATAGACAGATTAATAGATACAAAAAAGGTAGATTATGGATTACCAGGTGCTGCAGGGTGGGAGGAGAATGGGGAGTTGTTACTGCCTGATGGTTAAAGAGTTTCTGTTTGGGTAATAAAAAGGTTTTGAAAATAAAAAGTGGTAATGGTTATACAACATTGTGAATGTACTTAGTTCCACTGAATTGTGCTCTTAATGGTTAAAATGGCAAACTTAGTTATCTGTATTTCCACAATAAAATTTATAAAAACACAACAGGGAATTTTCTCTAAATCTAGCAGTAATTTTAGCCTCAATATACTCACTATAGTATTGGATACACAGAGCATAACAAGGAAAACCATGTAGGTTTCATTTTCATTAATTAACATAGGGTTAATTACCTAGAAAATGAAAGTAGGAAACTGAATCAATACCAATGATTTTATTGAAATCTTAGACATGTTTTTTTGTATGTGTGAAACAGAAGTGTCATGAAACAATGTTTATGTACAGTTTGAAAAACACTGACCTACTTCCTACTGGCTCTTAATTCCATCTCTTTCTTTGTGTTTCAGTTGGTTCTTATGGTGAGTTTCTTAGAACCATTTTCAGGTTTGCATTTATATAAGGGAGTGATGGCACAGTGAGTTATTGATAGGCATCTCTTTTATCTCATCTCTTTTACTAGCAACAAAACCTCCATTTTACAGATGAAGATGCTGAAATTCAGAGATGTAATTGACTCAACTCAGGATCACACTGATAGGGAGAGCTAGGATTTGACTCAACTATTTTATATTAAAGCCTTATTGCCCTTTATATCTAGATACGAGTGATATAAAGTATATTGGAGATACCGACCGTACATTCTTTCCATTTCAAGTGTATTTTAGGTATATGGTTAAATCATACCTATAAATATAAAGTAGCTGTGATAGAGATTTTATTTTTCTTGCTAACTTATGTCAGATGCCTTCAGGATACCTTTTCCTTGACTAAGATTTCAGAACAGGCTACTTTTGACAATAGTTTCTCAAGTTTTGACATGTATAAGTATGCCCAGTTTATAGGTTACTGAGATTCCAGCTGTCTGTCCCACTAATCCTGAGCTCCTTTAGGAGGAGTTGTAGCTTGCTTATTCTGGTGTCAGGCACAGTGGCACACAGTAAATTCCTGATAAAATGTTTGTGGAATGAACTAATTAATTAATGCATGCCCATGCTCTGGTCAGTTGTTGGGATTTGGGTGTTCTTTTGATTTTCAAAGCCATGTTGCTTGAGAAACCTTGCTATTGAAGTATTCCCTGTAGGTATATTTTGAAGGAATTAAAGTAACATCTTTTACTTTAATGCATTCTTGTAGGCAGTGTTCTTACATATCCTATCATTACAGAAAATTATCTCAGTAGTTACACCAGAGAACACTTATACAGTAAATATTTATTGAGTGTCCACTATCAGCATGGTCCTGTACTTCGTAGGTACTATAGGAAATGGAAAGATGAATCAAACTTCCTTTTGCTTTCAAAAATCTTGTAGTTTTACAGTATACCCACTTCTAATGAAATAATGTATGAGAAAGGTCTTTCATAAATAGTAAAACCATATATTAATCACAAAACTTTTTACTGCTTTTGTAAGATAAGTGCATTAACAGACAGACTCTGCCTTTTCTTGAGTATCCTCTGCCATCCTTAGCTCAGGCTTCATCACCTTTCTCTTGAATTATTGCAAAACAGGCTTTAGTTTGTCTCCTTAACCTCAGAATTTAATCCCCCCGCTCTGTCTTGCACAGTGCAACAGAACTGTTTTCCATCAATACTTCCAAATGCATGTGGAATCCCCATATTTACAAGCCGTGACCTACTTTCACAGCCTTGCTCACTTCTTTTCTTCACAGCCTGTCTCTGCCCACTTGCACCCCTGAGCGCCCAGGATCTGTGGCTCTAGGTCTCAGCGTAAAGAGCTATTCTCTTCACCTTCACATTAACACTTACATCATTACTCACATTCCTATTGCTTTGCCTAGTCTGGTTTTTTTCTTCCTGAAATGATCATAACCTCCTTGTCTGGTATAACCCCTCATTCATCCTTCAGGCTCTAGCAAAAATGTCATCACTTTAATAAAACCTTTTTTATCTCCCTTCCTCCATAGGCTGACTTACGGTTTCTCTCCTTCTATTTTTATAATAGTTTATAATAACATCAGTTACTTAGTTTGTAGATTTTTATAATAGTTTATAATAACATCAGTCACTTAGTTTGTAGATAACTCACTGACTACTTGTTTACATGACTTTATCCCTTTCTCTGAACTCTTAATTTCTTAGAGCTAAGATTGACTATTAATTCATCTTTGCCCTCCCAGTACTTAACATGCTTAGTAAATGTCTGTTTAGTCCTCCAGAAAGAATATTATACATGAAACAGTTGGACATATTTAAATATTAGGTCTGGGAGAGTTGGTGAGGTGTCATTTGAGTATAAATAATGGAGCTAGGTGATTTATAATTCTCAGTCTGGCCTCTGTCCACAGCTCCGTTGGTTGCAGTCTACCTGATTAGTTTCCGAAGTACATACTGATTTCACCATAAATGACTAAAGGTAGTAATTCCTATATCTCTCTCTCATTCCTTAGCTAAAGCACATACCCTTCTGAGGACAGCAGTAACACGCATCTAATGCTTGTGAGAACTGACTTAATAAATAGTTAGAACAGTACTTGGCACACAGTGAACGTGCGATAATGCCAACTATTATCATTCTAGTAAGAATTTATAATGTTCTTCAAGATATGTTGGTTATAGAAATTATCAGTGGTTAACTTAAAATAATTTTTTAAATTAAGGTAAAGCATTAGTTTTGTATTCCTTTGATTTATTAATCAGGTATTTGTTTTGTAGTTGCTGTATGTCTCATACTTTTTCACAGACATAGCCCTTGACCTGTCAGTGCTCCACCATTAAATTCTTGGCTCAGATTTGAAAAGATCCGGTGGAAAGATCTAGGAATCAGAAGTCTCAACTCAGTAACTCTGAGCAAGACTCTTAGTTGTCTATTATATGCCTCAAGCTCATTAGGTACAAAAGAGGTCTCTTGTTAACTCCCTTCTCTCAGGGATTCTCTTAATACCTTAGTCAAAGCACTTTTCCCATTTGTTCAAGCTGAGGAAACTAGGTGTCACCTTCGGGTTTTATTTCCAGCCACCCTCCATCCACATCTGTTCTATCAAAAGTTCTGATGATTCTGCTTCCAAGATAAAACTGTCTACTTCTTTCTGTTCTCACTCCAACACCATAGTTCCAGACGTCATTATCTCTTGCCTTAAAATTCGTTTCTAAGTTTCCATTATTTCTCCTCTGCAATCCAATTTTCACACAGCAGCCATTTTTGAAACATTAATTTTCTCATTTAAAATCCTTCATTAGCCTCCCACCATAGTTGAAATAAAATCTTAATTCTTACCCTGGCCTGTATAATTTGGCCCTTGGTTACCTCTTTCACCTTACCTGCTGCTACTTTCCTCATTCTTTCTCGTTCATTTATACTGACTGATCTTTTCTGTTTTCTAATATGCCAGACATAAAGGCCTTTTTGCTAGCTTGTTTCTTTCTGCCTGGAACATTAATATTACTACTCCGGATATTCTTGTGGCTCATTTCTATTTTCTGTCTCAGCATTTTGTGTCAAATGTCAGCTTTTTAAAATGAGGTTTTTCCCTCAGCACCCAATGCAAAATAGCACTCAGATGATGGTATTATTTTATTTTCAACATACCATTTGTCTTGAAATTTTTAAATTTTTACCTGTTGGACACCTCTCAGAATGAAAGCTTCATGATGGCAAGTCGTCTGTTTTCCCCTGTGCTAGTTCCTACCATAGGGTTGGTACTCAATAAATATTTGTGGACTCACTGGATAAATGGATCTCCCTAAATTTCATGTTTTTCAGTTGTTCAGTTGTAAAATAAAAATTCTGTCTGAATGATATCCAAGGATTCCCCCTGTCAAAGATAAACAAAGCCAGGCACTAGTTAAAGGCAACAAAGACAAATTTTATTGAAGTTGCTAGATAATTTATATCATTTTTCATGCCTATTCATAGCCTTTAAGGTCAGTATTATTCTTGCTCTTCTTTCATTGCTGAAGAAGCTGGCTCACAGAGGTCATAGAACCCATGGCATTTCTCCTGATGAGTCCCTACAGTTGAGTAGAGTGATATCCAAGTCCTTTCCTGAGCTTGTTAGGTGGCTCTGGTTTCCCCGGAATGCTTGTATATGGAGAGAAGCGTAGAAATTTAAATATATGCCATATTACAGAAGGTCTCAAATGCCACAGAGTGGAATCTTTGCCCATAAATAAGAGGACATTAAGATGGAGAATGGCTTGGTTTAAAATATGCTTACAATTTGGCATGTTTTTTATTATATTTCTCTTCTAGGCATAGAGATCAATAAATTATGGTGCTTGCCCTCCAGGAACTTCCAGTCCATATTGAGAGAAGGAATCAGAGAATTACTTGCAGTTTGGGAAAATGTACTACATAAGTGTATAAAAATTTTGAGAGCAGAAGAGAGAGCTGCAGCGATCAGTACTTACCTTAAATTCAGTTAGCAGTCAGTAATAAACATTTCTGGTATATTTAAGTAGTATGCATTTTATGGAATAATTTGATTGGATTGTTAAAAACTTTTTCCTTTATAAATATATATTATCAAGGGCAGTTAATGTAATTATACAACATAACTATCTGCATAAATGAAACTTTTATGTATTAAGATACTAACTTTCTCTAACAGATATGCCAAGAATTTAATAGCACCTGGGCATGGGAAATGGAGAAGAAAGGCTATCTCGAAATGAGCGTTGAATGCAAATTAGCACTCCTCAAGGTAATAAGTTTGTTATTTATTGCAACTATTTTAATTTAAAAATTCACTTTTACTCCTGGTTGAATTGAGAGAATAACTGGAAAGTAAACATTTTTGTTGTTATTGGAAAAGGACAATAGATTTCCTTATTTTTTTTGGTGACAGAAGTCTATTCTTTATTTTTTTATTTTTTACTGCTTTTTAGAGAGAGAGAAGTGGGGGAGAGAAAGAACATCGATTTGTTGTTCTACTTATTTATGCATTCATTGGTTGATTGTTATATGTGCCATCAAACTCGCAACCTTGGTATATTGGGGACGTTGCGCTAACCAACTGAGCTACCCAGCCAGGGTAAAGTGGTCCATTTTTTGAATTAATGTTTTTGGTTGTGTTTTAATACACAAGTATATCTAGGTTTAATGATCTGTGCTTATAGGGACTGAGATAGAATGGGCAAGCAGTTTCCCCAAATAAATTTTTTTCATTGTTTTCAGCCTTCAGAATCATTGCTAACAAACACATACTGCATACTGTGGTTAATCTTTTTTACTGATTTACTAAATTGGTAATTTTGATAGTTTTCAGATGACTAAGGGCATGCCACATAACCAAACCAACTAGATTAAAATAGTTCTCTTCAAAGTAGATTTATTTTCAAGTTTGAGTTTCCTTTTCTCTTCCTACCCATTTCAGAATGTTGGCCCTAGTAGGAGCAAGGTGGCCAGCATGATGAAGGGAAAAAAGGCTTTCCACAGAAGAGAGGCTCCTGGGCTAGACAACACAGGCAGTGACAGAGGCTGAAAGGGACTTCAGGTATTATTTGCCTGGGGAGAGACGCTCAGGGAAGAAAGCCGACTTTACCCCCTAATCATATCTATAAATGTATAACAAAAAGTGACGTCAGTTCCTCATTTAGTCAAGTGGATATCTTTTTATTAAGATAATTCTATAGAGACACCTATCAATGAGACTACCTTTCTTGAAAACCACATATATCTCAGGCTTTCTAAAAAACAGGTAGTATTTTGAGAATACTGTTCACTTAAAAACTTTGAGAGAGAGAATCATTGAAAATATTATGTCATGAGATGATTTGGGCGACTTACTGCAAACAGACTCACTGCTTTTGAAATATTACTTGATTTTTGTGTCATTGGCTGTGTGAAACCTTAAATTTATGTAATACTAACATAAAATGTTAACTTAAGATTTATCTTTTTAAATTGGTTATTCTAAGCACATTATAAAGTTGGGGGGGGGGAAGATTAATAAAGTGCATGTACTCTTTTTGCATCTGTCCCTGAATCAGTTCTATAGTTGAGCATATCACACTTACTGTAATGGAGAAACATTTATGTGGGATATTTTAAGCAATACTGTGACTGTTTTCCAGTATCTCTGTGAGTGTCAGTTTGATGACAATCTCAAGTTCAAGAATATTATTAATGAGGAGGATGCTGATACCATGCGTCTCCAGCCAATTGGTCGAGACAAAGATGGCCTCATGTATTGGTACCAGCTGGATCAAGATCACAATGTTAGAATGTATATAGAAGAACAAGATGATCAAGATGGCTCATCATGGAAATGCATTGTCAGGTATCTTTTATTAGAGTCTTTTTACATTTACTTGTATTTTGCTTACTTTGATTTATTCTACTCAGATATAATAACCTCTGAGGCTGTTATGGTTCTTTTTTTTGTGGGGTGGGTGGATTTCCAGGACCTAGCCTAGTCCCCAGCACAATACCTATAAGTAGGCACTTAATTCCTTATTTGTTAGATAGATAGATAGATAGATAGATAGATAGATAGATAGATAAGTAAGTTCGACAGTGTGGTCCATATCAAAACATATATTTTGTACTTCAGGAAGCCACAATCTAACAAACAATAATCCATTGATAATATGCACCAAAAAATCCAAACCATTTGGTTCTTATTTTGCTATTGTTTTCTATTAGGACTATCTGTTCCTAATTATTTTAATTTGGTCAATTCATCTTGATGCTTTAGTATAGTTTTTTACTTTTACTGTGTGTACATTTATTTCTTGGAGTTCTAAAGAAATCTGAGGAACCATTGTGCTTATTTGTCCTTTTTTTAAGTCTTGATTTCTTATTTATATTAACAGATAAATTTGAATGGAAACATTTAATGTAAAACCTTGGAATACAACTTTTTAAGAAAATCAGTAAATAACACTGAAGCTGTTATTCAGAATCTTTGTATCTCTAATATTCTATTTTGCAACTTAGAATTTCTTCCATTAATACTCAGCTTTTATTTGGAAAATAACAGGATTTATAACTATAGTAGGGAGAATTAATAGTTATATAACCACTGGCTTATGAAATAACCCTTTGTCTTTAACTCATCTATTTTTTCTCATTTTGAATTTAGCAGATTTTTATTAGTGATTATTAAAGTTTTGAAGATATAATCCATAGAAATTTAGAATGTTTGGGTCATGGAAGGCCAATTTTTATTCCCTAAGAATAAATGTGAATTTAATGAGCTCGTGGGTGATTGTTTTATAAGCACTCTTTTTTCATATAATGTGGTCCTTCATGTAGTTAATTTACTAAGTGTAAATAAACAAAATAGTTCTGAAATAAAATTTGCTTACCATCTCTCACTGTGAATACATACATTGAATGAGGTTCTGTTCATTCTTTTTTACCACCAGTTCTGTTATTTCCTATATCAAATATGCCAATATCCTTGCATATTTGTTTAAGAGATATTCTCTCCTACTTTGTAGATGATGAAAGTATGACAAATAATTATGATTATTATTGATTAGTCAAACATGCAAAAAATAACTTGTATACTGTTTTAAGTATATTGTACCCTAATGCGTGATGTAAGAGAAGGAGCATAGATTTTAGAATTAACAAGTGTGTTTGAATCTGTGCTGTTTCTCTCTTTACTCTTGGTAGGCAGATGACCTAATGGTAATTTCCCTATACTCTCTTCCTGCACTTTAAAGTGAAGGTGATAACACTTCCCCAGTACACTTGCTGTGAGAAATATATGAGAAATCGTAACAGTAGCTAATGTTCAGTAAAAATCTGTCTTTTCTCCCAACTTAATTAACTATTGGCTTTTCTTACATTTCTAACCCAAAGATTGAAACACTTTCTTCATAGAAATATTCATCAGCAGAAAAGAGGAAAGGGCAAAATTCCATTGGTGTATATTTTGCCTCTTCTCATCCTTGATCATTCTTCCAGGTTTTATTCCTTGTACTTCTGCCTTTTTAAAAAATCTTTTCATGTACAAAAATCTGTTCATGACAAACATGAAGTGGTATGTGTGGCATTTGTTCAGAAGCAATGCTTATATAGAATATTGGAACACAGTTTTCTCATGTTAACAATCACAAATTTCTTTAGAGAACTGGTGCCAAGTTACTTACTTTTAGCCTTTTTGTAGAACATTTATGAATGTGTGAATTCCAGTCTATAACATGTCAGACAGCTTTGCCGAGCTATGTAGCATTATTCAAAGCCTAATTCTAAACACCTACTTGTCACATTGTTTCCTCATTTAATTAAATTAATAAATTTATATTGTAAATATAAATATGTGTAATACGGAGTATAGGGAGGAACTCTGTACCTTCCTTTCAATTTTGCTGTGAACATAGAATTGCTCTAAAAAAAGTCTTTAAAAAAATTATAACACCATAGCATCACCACAATCTTAAAACATTTATTAAGTAGCAATTTTCACTTCTGTCTCTTGTAAAATTTATAATATAAATATATATGAAGTGGTTAGATAGGCAGTATTCACTGATAAATAATGGTATTTTAAGTGTAAATAAGACTTAGTAAGTTACTTGCAAAAGTAAAACTAGCTAAATTTCATTGAACCATATGAAATTAACATTTGTTTATGATGTTTAGACTAATTAAATCAAAATTAGTCAATTTGCTTCAAACTGAGCTTTTTAACCTTTCCACCATGTTTGTCCCATTTCTGTTAATAGCAACCACATCCTGTCAGGATTTGAATCCAAGATCTTAGAGGCACATCCTTGATTTTCCTTTTCTTTCATTTCACATGCACTCTATTAGCAAATCCAGTCAGCTCTCTGCAAAATATATCAAGTGTTTGATCATTCCTCATTCCTTTCATATCCACATTCTTGTGCAGGCAACCATATTTTTTAAATACAGTTTGGTAATTTTTAGTATATTCACAAAATTGTACAGCCATTACCACTATAACTCTCGGACAGTTTTCTCACCCCACAAAGAAACCCTATATCCTATATCCTGTTCACTAGCAGTTATTCAACATTCTCTCATTCTCAGCCCATGGCAGCCACTAGACTACTTTTTGTTTCTGTAATTGGCCTGTTCCAGACATTTCATATATATAGAATCATACAACATGTGTCCTTTGTGTCTGACTTCCTTCAGATAGCATAGTGTTTTCAAGGTTCATCTATTTACTAAGAATCAGTACTTCATTACTTTTTGTGGCTAAATAATAGTCCCTTGTATGGATATATTGTATTTGTTTATTCATTCTATCCTTGTCTTTGAAAGAGTAATTTGAGTTAGTCAGGGGGAACACATTCCAGGTTAAGAGAACAGAAGTGCAAACACCTGACATTATAAGATAGCATGGTATTTTAGAGGGATGTAACTGATTTTGTATGCCTTAGTGAAGAAATGTTTTAGAGGAAAGAGCACAATGGAGGGAGGGGAAAACAACTGAATTGTTTTTAGAGACCATGTCTACTCTAAAAGGCCCTATAGATAATTGTGAAATTTGTATAAATTTGCATATATGTATATTTATAAAATTCCCTCTGACTAGTTCAAATTTATGATTTTTTAAAAATATTTATTCATTTTTTTTAGATAGAGGTAAAGAGAGAGAGAGAGAGAGAGAGAACAGTGATCAGTTGTCTCTTGTATGTGCCTTGATAGAGCACTGAACCCACAACCCAGGCATATGCCCTGACTGGGAATCAAACCAGCAACCCTTCGCTTTTCCAGGACGATGCCCAGCTGAGCCACACTGGTCAGGGCCAAATTTAGGATTTAAAAAAAATTATTTAGCATACTAAATATAATTGTTATGTTAAAATAGGTGAAATCCAGATGAATAGTTTTTTGTTTTCATATAATAATGGCTACATTAGGCTTACATTTTAACACAGTAGGTTAAAAGCCTTTAAGGAAGCTCTTAAGAAATATTTCTGCTAAATTCCTTTGTTGCTTAGAGTAGTGGAAATAATTGACATGGACTTTCTAGCAACATTGGCCCTCTTCTAATGTTGGGAAGCTCTATGATATAGGTATTGTGAAAAACTTCAATATACTCTCCATTTCCCAGCATGACTGAAAAAAATAATAGGTTGAAGCACTTACTACATATGGAATTCTCAGTGAAATACGAGAGGTAATAACATTAAGTGGATAGAGCCTAAGGTTAGAAGCAGGTTGATATAATGAAGTTGAGGGTAGGAACTTGGCCAAAAATAAATTTATTTTGTGTCTTCAGGTTTTAGTCTTCTTTTTTATAGTGGAGGCATTACCAGACAGGATCTTAAAGAGCATTTAATCTGACCTTCTACTATTAGAGAATTAAAATTCTAAACTGTTCATTTTATTAGGTATGCTCATATGATGTTTATAATATGTATAAACATGTGTGTTCACTCCCATATACAATGACAAAATGGTTGCCATTTTAATTTCTGGAATATATCCATCAGTACAGTTTTATTACTTTCTTTAGGAGGACAATTTAATAATACTCAAGAGAATCCAGTCTTATTTTATAGATAAGGAAGCTGAGGCCTAGTGGAAGATATACGACCTGTCTAGGGGCAGGTAGCCATCTAGTTTAGTATCAGGGATTTTATTCATTTATTAAACATTGTTTTAGAGCCTACTTCATGAGTCAGTGTCCCTGTTCTCAAGCGGCAGAGTTTAGCTGGAATGAAGATAGAAAGGGATAGGAGGATAAAAAGGGCATGAGTGTCATGACAGATAAGAAAAGAAGTAATTTCATCTTAGTACTAATTACATAGATTAAAAGTGCATACAGAGTCCTTTGAGAACATAGATAGGAAGCTCACGATGCTGATTAATTAACTTAGTGGCAGAAACAGAATTAAGTTTTCCAACTTTGTCCAGGGTTTCTTTTTTATCTTTACTGTTACACTGCTATTTTGAGCAGGAAAAATACCCAAATGAGTTTTCTTGTTTGTAAGTGGCATTAAATTGAACATACCACACTTCTGGTTTTGTAGTAAAAATAGATAATATATAGATAGAATCTTATTTGGGATTTTCTTCTATTTTTGATTCAAAATGAATTCCCTTCCTGTGGTTGTAACTGTAATTGATAAAACAACATCAGTAACCTAAATTCTTAGGTTTTTTTGAACGTTATTACAGCTGACTTTTTGCCATAATTACTCAGAAAGACCTGGATTATAATTTTTGTAACGATACCAAATGTTATTGTCTCTGTAGGTAGAAAAGAGTGCTTATTTCAAGTGAATCAAGAACTTGAATCATTCTGTAAAAAAGAAATGGTACTTCAAGCAAGTCTTATATTGATCTTGTACTCCTCAGAGATTGCATCGTACTTTTAAAATGATCAAACTTTGATTTTTGTTTAATTTTTTCATAATTGTTCTTTTCAGCCAGACCTTTGCATTGCCATTCTATTTAATACAGAGAATAGTGTAAGATTCCTCATTGGAGAATAGTATATTTTAATGTTTTCATTTCTAATACTTATTTTAAAATTCAAAGTTAATTCGATTTAGCTTTACCAGTGACTTGGTTATTCTTAAAGTGTTTTTCTTTTTTTAATTTTAATTTCTATTAAGTATTATTTTGAAAGCTCTGCTCTTTAGAACAGAAGAAGGATTTTTATGCTCTCTTTTTTCCCTTGTTTAGAAATCGAAACGAGTTGGCTGAGACTCTTGCACTCCTGAAAGCACAAATTGATCCTGTACTATTGAAAAACTCTAGCCAACAGGACAACTCTTCCCGGGAAAGTCCCAGCTTAGAGGAAGAGGAGACTAAAAAGGAGGAAGAAGCACCTAAACAAGGTTTTTTTTGTGTGTTTTGTTTTGTAATTTCTCTTGTCTTTCACTCCTCTTTCCAGCTATTTAAATTGGAATTTTCTCAGTTTGAAAAATTGTTGGGCTTCCTGTAAAAGGAGGTTGATCTTTATTTTAGTTAAAGGTGGAAAAAAGCAAGGTAAAAATTGAGTACTTTGTTCTTTTATATTGGATATTTAAAAAATTTAAATGAAAATGTTCAGACCATAAAAACAGTGTCTTTTACTGATCCTAAGAATATGAAGAGACTTAGCAAACTCTTTTGTTGTGGTAAAATATACATAACTTAAAATTTATTGTTCTAACCATTTTTAAGGGTGCAATTCTGAGGCATTAAGTGCATTCACATTGTTATGTAACTGTCAACTGCCATCCATCTCCACAGTCATCTCCCTCAACTGAAACTATTCCCATTGAACGCTAATTCATTTTCCCCTTCCCCCAGCCCCTGGAAGCCACTAATAGTACTTTCAGTCTCTGTGAATTCGACTAAGTCTAAGATCCTTTTATCAGAGAAATCATAGAATATGTTTGTTTGTGGCTGGCTTATTTCACTGAGCATAATCTCTTCAGTCTTCGTTCATGTTGTAGCATGTCAGAATTCCCTTCCTCTTTAAGACTGAGTCACATTTCATTGTGTTTGTTCATCTGTCAGTGGACTTTTTTTGAATATTATGAATAATGCTGCTATGAGCATGGGTATACAAAGATCTGCTCAAGTCACTGCTTTCACTTCTTTGGGGTATATATGCAGAAGTGGAATTGCTGGATCGTATGGGACTTCTATTTTTCATTTGAGAATCCACCGTGCCATTTTTACAGCCTCTGCACATGTTACTTTCCTACCCATCACTTGTTCTTTTGTTTAATTTTTTTATAGTAAGCCATCGTAACGGATGTGGAGTGGTATTGGGGTTTTTCTAGTGGGGTTTTTTGTTTTGTTTGTTTTGGTTTCACCTAACAGACTCTTCTAGTCTACAGTAATTATTAAACCTTATTTTCTGGCTGAGTTTTCTAATTTGCTTAAACTAAGCAGATCAAATTGTAACCTTTCTAGAAGGACAGAACCAAGTCCTAACCTTTCCAGAAGGAAAAAACCAACTGAAATTTTGTCTAGCATTTTTTTTTCAGTTACTACTTTTTTGTTGATAATATACCTTAAATGAGAGGGGAAGGAGGTTGCTCTCCTTATTATGCTTTCTTCCTTTGCTTTTAGGTTTTTTCTACTGTTTCAATGAAAACCTGAAAGCAATATGTTTTTACCTTATTTGCTGCTTTGAGAAAACTGTTCATAAAATCATCCACTAGCAGCAAGCATTACTTGAAAACAGGTAATGATACCCTGTAATGTAGGATATAATGTTTCTACATACTAAGCATTGCTTTTAGCAAAAATCCTAACTGTTGCTCTTCTTTAGCCAGTGTTTATAGGATTTTAGTATCTGTGATGGTTTTATTTATAAGCTATAATTCTGATTTGAAAAATTCTTTTCTATATGTTAAAATTCAATTTGTAGGCTATTTCAGTAAAACTTAATGTAAAGTAGTCTAAACTTCCTTGAATTTCCAGACTTTTTAAAGTACCTTCTTAAGGATTACTTCTGAGTTTAGACTTAATAATATTTGTTCATTTGGTCATTGAATTTGGTTTTCTATTCATATATTAGTTTATTCTCATAGGGAATTAAAGTTAAGACCAGAGAGAATATAAATTGGAAAAAGAGAGCAAGGTAATAGAAATTTAAGAGGCAGTCATTCCTATTAGGTGAACATAAATTTCACACTGATTTTGAAGGGAGACCCATTGTGTAGCTTAAATTACAAAGAAAAGCAAAATGAACATTTTCTTCAGTAAAATAAAGCTCTTCCTAGTATTAATTCTAAAATTTCACTGTGGAGTGTTAGAGCAGAGCAAGGGGAATTTCAACAATAAAAGCAGCTAACATTTATTGGGCACGTTCTGTTTCTTTGCAGCCTACCAAATGTTGCATGTGCATTTTCATTTAATCCTCATAACCCTTGGAGGTCACTGCTCTTACTATTTCAATATTACAGGTGAAGGGATTAGGAAGTTTATACACTTACCCGAAGTCTTAAAGATTATAAAGTGTGCGAACCTAGACTTTCAACCCTGATCTTTGTAATGTCGATGCATTTTATCTAGAATGATCTACAACTGTACTTTGCAAATTTTGATATGCATTCTCTTAGGAATAACACTGATTTGCCATTTAACAAGGATCTAGATGATGCTCATACCAGTCAGAGGACCACACTTTGAGTAGCAAAATTACAGAGGCTGTCTCCTCCTAAGCTTGTAAACAAACACAGCAAAGGATTTCATACAGCTGTTTCTGAAAATATTCCTCAGTGAATGCTGAGGCTATAATACTTAACACAAGTAAGAGAAGTCTGTGGGGGAGGACAAGTCTTGAAAAAGTATAGGAGGAGGAGCAAGACATTTAATCTTCGTTTTTCTCTTCTCTTTTAAATAGTGTTTAGTTTGTTTCTTTTACTCTAAAAGCAAAATGGTTCTTTCTTACTTAAATACTTAGTGGACCTAATATGTTCCAAGTACGATTTTAAGCACGGGAGTTCAGTAAGCAAAGCAGATTAAAATCCTTGCTTTTGTGAAGTTTACACTATGGTAGATTAAAAAAAAAAAAAGAAAAGAAACAAACAAACAAAAAACCCCAGAAAACAAACACAGTCCTGGCTGGTGTGGCTCAGTGGGTTGAGTGCCGGTCTGCGAACCAAAGAGTTACCAGTTCTATTCCTCGTCAGGGCACATGCCTGGGTTGCAGTCCAGGTCCCCAGTAGGGGGACACATGAGAGGCAAACATTGATGCTTCTCTCCCTCTCCTCCTCTTTTCCTTTCCCTTTCTAAAAATAAATACATACAATCTAAAAAACAAAAACTAACACATATACCATTTACCATGTGCTAAGTACTGTTCTTAGTGCTTTGCATATATTAAGTCATAGAATCTTTGCAACCTTTTATTAGGTAATACATTGTTATTTCCTTTTTTTGAGGCAAGAGGAGTGAGTCAAGGAGAGGTTTAAGTAACTTTCCCAGGACCATCCTGTTAGTGACACGCCCAGTATTCAAACCTGGGCAGGCCCTTGTCTTTCTCTGGAGTCTGTACACTTTTGATGCTGTGCTTACACATTGTGTGGAGGAATAGACATTTTTATTCAGCCCCCAAAGCCCTACGTGTCCCTTACTCCATCCTGTCAGGTGTAGTTAATGTGTTCTGTTCCATAGTAAGACGAAAGAAATGTGATTCTGGTTTGTTGTTTTATTACTCACAAATGTAAACAAACATTGCCCTTTGGTGGGCAGCTTGAAAGCTGTAGGCAGTGTTAGAGAATATCCATTGTTTTAGAATGATAAAGCAAAACATGACAAAAGCATAGTTGGCTAATTGGAAAACAGACAAGAAGGAAAAATAAATGGAAACTGGAGAAAGAATAAAATAGCCACTCTTAGTCTTGTAGTTAAAATAGATTTTTCTTTAATGATCAGTTAAATGGCCATGCGTTATCTAACCTTAGGAGAAATAACAGGATGACTTAGCCTATAATACCAAAAGATTGTGCTTTGTGTAGGGTGCATTATTTATAAAAGTACTACTCCCCAGTGGCATCATATGGCCTAAAAAGTTCACTAACTGAAAAATTAAATTGACTTTTGTTTCAAAGATAATTAGAATTGTCTTCTGAGAAAGTCTGAATTTCTTAGATTGGCATCAGAATCTCACAGACTGTCTTCAGCTTAATTAGTCTAATCTTTCCTCCTGCTGTTTCCTTATGTGATCACTGGTTCCAGATTATCTAGCTGCCTTTATTTACTCCATTTGCCTTGGGTGTTCCTTCCAAGTCTTAATCATGCTCTTGTATTTAGGACATCCTGTCCTCTGCTGTGGAAATTCTAGGTATACTTTTAGGCCATATGGAATCCCACCTTCTTCAACCCTTTTCTAAGTTCCACTAGCACTTAATTAAGCACTGTTTTTATCCTACTTATATTTGGGTCGGTCATACTACCAGGCTTGAAGCTTTCAACTACTTGTAGGATTGTTACTCTCAGACTGTAGTAGATTTTAAAGTGAGCGTTAAGTGTCATTTAAGCCCTTTTCTGTCCAAGATCCAAGATAACATTTCAAGTGGTACTCTACCTGGAAGTTACTGTGCTTATAGGACACCATGAAATTTAATAATGTTTTCACTCCACATTAGATAGTGTATTCTAATTTAGGACAGACTTCCAACTCTAGAGGGACTTTTGTCAGGGAAAACAAAGTTGAGGAAAATCCTAACCTTTAATTTAGCTTTTTCTGCTAATTAGAAAAAGACTGTCTTTTGTTAGTTTTTATAGTCATACACTTCTACATGTAGAATGAGAGAAGACTACCATTTGAGAACCTCTAGTAGTGAATAGAAATTGTATGTACATTGGCAGCTTGAAATTTAAGTTGGCCAACAAACATTTATTTCAGTTTGTACAGTGCTGCTTTGTTTAAAAAAGAAAGAAGGAAGGAAGGAAGGAAAGAAGGAAAGAAAGAAAGAAAATTCTCCATTTTCATTCCGTGGTTTCACAGTATTGTGCAACCATGACCACTGTCTAATTCCAGACGATCTTCCTCACCCCACAAAGAAACGCTCAGTCGAGCAGTCACTTGCCACATTTCCCTACCCCTAACCCAGGAAGCCCCTAGTTTTACTTTCTTTGTAAATTTGCCTATTTCAAATGTTTCGTGTAAATGGAATTATGTAATATATGCCTTTTGTGTCTGGCTCCTTTTACTTGGCATAATGTTTTCAAGGTTTAGCCATGTTGTAGCATGTATCAGTATTTTTTTCCTTTTTATGACTGAATAATATCCCATTATTTTGTTTATCCATTCATGAATTGATAGGCATTTGATTTGTTTCCACATTTTGGCTGTTAAGAATAATGCCTCTGTGAGCACTCACATGCAAAA